GGGAAAAATTCGATCCTAATGAATTTTCCTGCCTTGAGATATTGAGACTCGAATATTTTACCTGAAGGTGAGGGTGAGGGTCAGATGTTCGAGTCTCAATATCTCAAGGCAGGAAAATTCATTAGGATCGAATTTTTTCCCGTCGTACTACTATGACCATGGGCTACCAGTGTGGCAAGTTTCAAGTCAAAATTCGAAAGTCGGATTTTGCTCGAAATCCAAGCTCTGTAGGCAAAAACTGATTAAAAATTCAATATCTCAGCAACAAAGCAGCATGGGGATGAACCAACTTAGGGTATTTCACTACTCACTGAGATCTACAAGATACAAGTAGTCCGAGTTCAAAAGCGATTTATAACCTCAAGAGGTTCCCTCGTTAGTGCAGTTAGTGACGTTAGTGGACCGATTAAGACGCAAGCTGTACCCGTGCTGTCAAGTAAGTTAAGTTTTCAAAAATAGATTTTCAATTATTCCTTTAGTTTTTTTAAGACACAAACGCACTCCTGTGCCATTTTCTGACAAAATCTGTATATGCGAACTACGAGCAGACTATGAACATGATTGAAAAAATGATAACGATATTTTTATAACATTTCTAGTTTATTTTCAAGAAACATGCTTAGATAAAGAAGAGATTTGACATCTTTGCAGAGAAACACTTTTGCTTAGTGCTATTAGAGAGAAAGAGAGAGGACTTTCCTTTTTGTCCTTTACAGTGCTGCAGTTTATAACAACAGTTTCATGTTATAGGTTTCATTCACTTGTGGAATGAATGATTTGTAAAGTTTGTTGCTTTTTTAAATAAAATCATGTCAAATATTTCTTTTCTGAAGTTACCAGTAGGCGGAAGGAAATGCTTTAAAGATCATTCATCTAGACAGCCCGATGAAACCGATTTTTTCAACCATGCATTTTCAGTTTTGTCTCACTTAATGGCAGCTCCTAAATAAAGGATACGAATTTCCTCAAAAACGCTCTATGCCCGCCTCAATTGCGTCATTCCTTCGGAAGACTGTTTAATATACCTAAGTTCAACACGAGCCGCAGAATAATGTTGCTGCATACCTCGTGAAAAAGGAAAATTCTCCCGGCGATGGATGTTCTATCTTCTTATATGAGGAAGTTCGCGTGGAGGGACTACCTCTTCGAAGCAGTTCCTGTGCCACTGAGCAAAATTCTCGCGAAAAAGTAAAAATCTCACGGAGATGGACGTTCTATCTTCTTATGCGAATAAACTTCTCGTATAAAACAACGAAGTTGCTGTGGAGGAAAATAAAGTTCCTCATCGAACGGGTAAAAGTGCTGTGGGAACAACGAAATGTTTGGTGAGAAAGTAAAATTCTCTCGCAGATGGACGTTCTCTGTTCTGAACTGCGTAAAGTTCTCTTTGACGGAAGTACAATTCCCGTTCGAAAGGCTAAAATTGATGTGGCGCATAAACGTCGTGTGAAAAACTAAAATTCTTACGGCAATCGGCGTCCTCTGTTCTTAAATGTGTAAAGTTCGTATACCTTCTGTGGGAATGACTAAAGTACTGCTAGAAAGATAAAACTCTACAGGAGATGGACGTTCTATCTTCTTGTAGGAGTAAAGTTCTCGTGTAACAGAAAACAGGCGAACATTATATAGCTCGAGTCTAGAATTTTCCTTAGCACTAACGAGGGAACCTATGGAAGTGCCTCTCCTCCGATTCCAAGTATTTATAGATGGATCGAGGGACCATAGTGGGGTAGTAAATACCCTAAAAGGATTCGGGTTCATGACTCTTGAAGACCCGGTTTTCTAGAAAATCAGTTTTTGAGAAACTCTAAAAGATAACCAAAACCTTTTGTAATGAGACGTGATTGTAGCCCGTGCTTTTTTAGAGTTTCTGAAAAACTGATTTTCTAGAAAATCTTCAAGAGTCATGAGTCCGAATCCTTTTGAGGGTATTTACTACCCCGCTATGGTTCCTCGATCCATGTATAAATCATTGGAATCGGAGGAGAGGCACTTCCATAGGTTCCCTCGTAAGTTAAAAAACACACAAGAAATTCATGTATCATACAGTGCCAAAACGGTACGGTACCTATAAAATCCATCCAACGAAATAATTAAACAATTGATCGAACCACTCGGCTGCAGTTCTCTCGATACAAATTCATCAGAACAAATGAATCAAATTAAAGTTAAAATAACAGGTATATATAATAAATAAATATGGTTTTGATAATAAATTCTTTTTATCCATCAACATATATGGTAATGATAATTATTTGAATCATTTATTCTCTGATGTTGTCAATGTCAATCAGAATCCCAGTTTTGAATTCAGTGAATGTACAATTGAAGATGACGAAAAGAAAATACTCCATGTACAATATTTGATTGATTAATTAACATTTGATAAGTAAGTTGATCCATTATTTTATTTTTTTCGTTAATTAATCTGATGTAGAGTTATTGCACTTATTTATATTCCAGTCAACACTAATAGAAATGAAAACTATTCATATTATATTTTTTAATTGACGATGCCAGAAAAGAAAATCAACTGTACACAATAGAACGTCTGAAATTATCTATACCAAACATTATTGACATTGAATTTGTTAATAACGAGAATGATGATGATTCTAATTCAATTAAAATTAAATATTATAATACAAAACAAATGAATAATATTTCGGCTAAAACGCGTAACTGTCACCCTCAGCTGCGGTGGGTTGACCGATATTTTTTTTCTCAAACCAGCCTTAAAAGCACATCATTAGACGCAGTTGTTTGCGCTGATTACGAATATCAACTTTAAAACGAACAAAACTTAACTTTTTAAATCGAAAATTCAAATTTAAAATTTAGAAGTTTTTTCATTTCAATTTTCTGACTTACTTAGTTTTTTAAAAAGTTTCAGAAAGTATATCAGTGGATAAAGAATTAAATTCTCTACAAAATGCACTATTGACTGTGTCAAAACAATCTTCAAAAACGCATTTTGCACGCTAAACAAGTTTTTGCTGGTTTTTGGTGATTTTTTGCCGAACTGGAAATGGTACTTTTTTTGGACCAATTCTACGAAAATCAAAAACATTTCTCCCACCATTCTTTTTTGCTTAGTTTGATAAAGGGCACTCGATTGCATAAGACTCCGTGCATATCAAGTTTATAGAAGTCTTTTTTACCGGTAGAAATATAACGATAAAACCCACTACAAAAGAAAGCAAAAAAATGATGTAATTCCGTCACGGAGCCATTTCGCTTGTTTGTTTTCATTTAAGCATTGTTTTGAGTAAAAGTAAAGAGATGATTCGAAAGCTCTTTTCATGCTCTACAACGTTTATATTAGACTTTTTTTCTGAATATGTTTCGTTTTAGAGCATTTTTCAAAGTTCGTAGAGCACTAGAAAAAAAGGCTAAAAAATGTAATTCCGTCACACGCGTTTAAGCCGATTTATGATTTATTAACAAATACACATATTTGTGGTTATCATACACAGCTTATATCGCCATTGGCATCCGTGGAGATGATCATCATCACTACCAACAGCAGGCATTAAATAGCAATTACGTATTGAAGGTATGCATTGTAACTTATGTTCATCAAATATTTGTTCGATATTTTTACCCGGTATTCATCAAATAAAACTATTATCTGATAATAAATTAGCTAATATTTTATCTGATCAATTATTAAGTAATTATTATACAAAATTGCTGTTCCACCTTCTTGAGTTTTTGACCAAGTAAAGTTTGTATCCATTGTTTTAAATAAAATATGACCTTACTCTCCATGCTTCTATATTTATATTATCAATAAGACAGAAATCCTGATCAAATTTTGCAACGACTAATTATGCTATTAAATATTCTTTTGCGAAAAGTAATCATTAGGATATGTTTACTGATTATTAATCAGAATTACTTATTTTGCTCTGGGAGTTGCTTTTTATTCTGACGTTCGTATATAGTCATAAATTCTTCTTATATATGTTTCTACTTCTATTTTTTTCTAAAAAGTGACTAATTTATATATCTATATTTTTAAATTACGATTGTTAATTACTCACTAATTAAAAAGTGGCCACAATTTGGAAACGCAAAATAATATAAATTTACTCCTTCCAAATTGCGCTCAATTTTATACTAATTGACTTAAATTTAGGAAGCTTCGATATCTATTGTATGTATCAATATCAACTTGACCATAAAATAATTGAAAATGAAATTCAAATGTTTTTAATTTTAATAATTTTGTTAATAAATTCATTTCATAACGTTGATCATCGATAACACCATTCACATTTAGAAAAAGTCTTAAATATTCAATAGAAGAATAAAATTGTAATAATAATAATTCGATACGATCATAAATAATTCGATATTTTATTGTAAGATAAAATGTTTTTAAACTTTTTTGATAACTTTTTTATTTTTAATTGTTTCATATTCATATTGATCATTAGTTAATGATTTAGGATACCATATTTAAATATTCAATTAACGGTAAATTCTCGCATAATATAAATAACTGATCAAAATAACTGTAAAACAATTCTTAAGAATTTTACTGAATGACATGGACGAATACTATCATTTATAATAAATATTGGACGATTTGTACTTGATAATGTTTCTATTTTACAATCATTCTGTAATGTTGTACAGCATATTCCTTGTAATAATTGATTATCAACATCAGCCAAATAATTGTAAATATTTATATCAATTTTGAATGTTAATAATAATTTAAATAATTCCATATAGGATAAATATTGGCCACCTTTGCGTGGTATATTAATAACTGTTATTGATTGAAGATAAGGATAATTAATTGTTGAAAATACTCTATTGATGTGATGATCATCAAGTTTTATACTAGTAATTGATGACTGAAGAGATGGTAAATATTTAATCAACCATTGTTCATTCATTTTAGATAAGTCAATTTCTGATAAGAGGCACGTAAAGCAAACTTAAACTGAAATTTGTTCACCCAACTGCACCATTTAAGAATGACTACAAAGGGCGTGAAAAGTACCGAAATACTCTGGTGGAAACGCATTATAAACAGTCACGAGACATCTTATTTTGTTTGGAATTCTTTCCTCTATCGGGCTATATGGTTTGCAGAATTTTGAAACGAAAAACCAAAGATTTGGTTTTGTGGTGGCCAGGTTTTCCAGAAACTCTAATATCAAGTTCTCTCATAAATTGGCCGTATGATCCTCATCTGATAGAAAAATCTTTTGGTTATTCAAAACAGTGTTCAGATTTGCTCCAGCTTTGTCTGGAAAATCCTAAAGAACGGAGCTCTTATGATTATGACACACTGTGCCGCATATATAACACCCAAACGCTTCTTTTGCATATCTTTAATGACTGACCCCAGCAGTCTAAACATTCCGACTAGCTCACTTTGGAAAGAATTTCACGGACTATCCAACGGTATCGCTCTGCACAATATATACGTTTTCATTATAACAGGAAAAATGACTGAAGGAACGTGCTGCATGTGTTTTTGGTACTCCAACGCTTCTTTTGTATGTCTTTGGTGACTGATCCGATCAGTCGAGACATCCTGACCAGTTCAGTTTGTAGAGAATTCTAAGGGCTATCCAACAGTATATTATAGGAAAGTGTAAAACGAAGTCTGAGTCAAATACACGAAAGTTACTGAAAAACAACATCGATCTTTCTCATTCGTTTTCAGTAAAATACATTTTTCTTCGCCGGGAAAACGATTTTGAAAAAAGCTCTACATTAATTTATGCCTCGTTTGAAGGCACATCTTTTGGCGTTTGAAACAAGTGTCTAGCTCTTAAGCCCAGAGACGAGTAGGTTTTTTGAACAGAAGGTGTCGAATTTTGACCTTGAAACTCCAGTACCTGGCTAAACTTTCAGTTTTGGATTTGGAGACTTTAAAGTTACTTGGCCAAGACCAATTTTTAATGAGGAAGCGACTGAGACCAAGCTCGTATCTCTAACACAAAACCTGACGAAATCGCGACGTTTTTTCGAAAAGTAATAGCATCAACATTTACGGAAAGTTTCGTCAAAATCGGATTTACGGTGCAAGAGATAATTTCTGAGGGAGAGGGCCCTTAACTTCAGTAGAGCTTAGTTTCAAAAGAACTTTAAATGTATTCACAGTATGAACTGGATTTACATATGTCCGACCAATGTATTTGATTTCATTTTGCTTGGAAAATCTGTTTAAATTAATTTCTAAAAAAATTCATTCAAACCCTTCTACGTGACTTTTCGTGCGAAAAATCCATTTAATTTTATTTCTGTCTGAATAAATCCGATATGAGTTTTTGTAAAACACTAACTTAGTGTTTTACAAAAACTTATATCGGATTTATTTATATTTGGAGGAAAAAGGAATTTAAGGTTTAAATTTCTTTTTTCTCCAAATATAAATAAAATGCATTAATAGATTTTCGCAAAAAACGAAAACCAGATTCATTGAGATAGAAATGAATTTAAATTGATCTTTCGCACAAAAAGTAATGCAGAATGAATTTGAATGAATTTCTTTAAAAATTAATCTAAACAGATTTTATAAAACGAATTTTTAAATAGTGCACAGTGGGCAATTTTGCCTAGGCATGTGGACATTGGATTCTATAGCGCTGGAAAGATCTCTCAGATATGTTTTTGTACGTTTTCGGGTGTGCTCTTTCTAATGGAGTCACTGACAAAGTTCAAAATTCATGTTTTAAGGGTTTTCCAGAGATCCGGTCTATAGAAAACCTTTGCAAAACCAGTTTACAATTTTTTAAATAAGCCCATTGATC